CAAAGTTCCTCTCTTCAGAGCAGTTCAGAGGATGCTAACAAGACCCTGTGGGATGGGCTTCCCAGGGAGGCCACCTGGTGCCGACTCCATCCTTTTCGACACCAGGTTAAGATCTTCCTTTACTTTCAGATGCATGATGCTGTTTGATGGAACTTTTTAAAGTTTGTTTTTATCAGGCAGGCTCCAACAGTTTTATTGTTTTTTGGTTTTACCAAACTTAAAAAAAATAAATACATGTTGAAGCTTTTGTATTATGTTTTGTTCTGTTGTGAGCTACCCAAAGACCTTTGGCTATGGGTGGTATAAATACTCATTTTTCTACAGTGTGGGTATGGAATACATATACATCCAAAAAGGACAGTGCATGGAGAGCTGAGCTACTTACCCTCAAAAAAAGATTTTGCTGGCTGTTCCAGTCTTGAAACATGAACTCAACCCAAGCTGATCTGCACCAGTGCAGGGCAGTGGTTGGAAGAGTGCAGTTTCAAGCAGCAAAGCAAAGCCAAGTTTCTTTCCCCTGCCAGCAAACAGGATTAAATACCTTTAGTCTTCAGCTGGCCTGAGATGCTTATTCCTAAGCAAGATGGCTGCCAGTTTCAGGAAACTGTTTTACAACTTGCAATAAAAGGAAGACAAATGACAAGAGATGGGTTGACTCCATAAAGGAAGTTGCAGCCTTGAATTTAGAATAGCTAAGCAGGGATGTCCTGGACAGGGCATTCTGGGGGCTTTCATTCATTCACCATAAGTCAGAGATGATTTGATGGCACACAGCAACATACACAACCTTCAATGGGAGGGTTTGGTGAACCTCACAATGTCAGTTCAGACATCACGTTAAATGTGATTGTTGTTTTAATGTTTGTAATCATTTGTAAACCATTCGGAGAGCAATGTGCTGAGAGAATGGTATATAAAAATCTTTAATTAATAAACAAACAAACATTGTGGGAAAATTGGTACCTTTTTACTGACGGACTCACTTTCTCAAAACTGAAAATGGTGTGGTATGGGTGCTTTTACTCAGGATATGATGCAAAAAATACCAGCAATTCCTAAAAATTACGGGTACTGTCTAAATCATGATGGGCAACTGTGGAGAGCTGGGGGACCACATGGTTTCCCCTTCCAGAGGTCATAACCTGTTGCTGACAGAAATGGCAATGATTCTGCTGTGAGACAAGGTGAACATGGAGGCTCTACCTTGCTTCCCAGCAGAATTGTACACCCCACAGCCCCCCAAACTGGGGGGGGGATTACAAGGCACATAATCCTCACATGCCGTTTCTCTGCAGAAACAACCATTGTATTGTGGAACAAGGTGCAGATTCCCTGTGCGCTGAGGGAATACGCTACTGTTTGGTGGGGCAGCAGTCATGCCTAGGTGTGGGGGCACAGAAACAGCCCTGGCCAGGGCCAGTGAGAATTATTTGTTTCAAAAGCAAAGTTAAGTTCCAGTGAGACAGCTGGGTGGTTTCATGGTTGCATCTTCAATTAAGGACTGGCCAAAGATGTCACATATCAATGGGACTGCAGAGCAAAATGGAGTTATTCCAGAAACAAGGCTTACTTAGTTGATGCCTATCTGTGCAGCATAAGCCTGATGCATTTGATTTCAGACTGTTACATAAATGCTGCCCTTTGCAGTAAGACAAGTAAAATCAGACCTGTCCAAACAAAGGTAAACAATGAAATAATATCCCTTGTATATGAGAAAGAATAGTTGCATCTGTTCTGTGAGCAGGCGAGCTTCCTGGTAAGGCTTTTATTGTGCAGTTGCCCTGTTTTCTGTCACAGAATTTTATAGGGTATCAAGGCAACAATGCCCTCCATTTGTAAACTTTCAGTGTTTCCCCATCATTTCTCCAATCATTTTCCTTTACAACAGAATCCACAAAGGGTAAAGTGCTGTTAGGTCCAGGCAGTGCCTACTGATTTAACTAACCATAATTTATTCATTTATTAATATATTAAACCCTACCTTTCTGTCTCCAGTGGCACCTTTGGATAGCCAACACTAAAATATCCAAAGATAAGCATTAAAAAAAGCATTAAAGCAACACAAATATACTGAATGAGCAGAAGCCAGACATGAAACAGCTAAATGCTAACCTCTTTAAAGACATTTCAGAGAATATCCTGAGCAAAAATACATTTTAATAGCAGTGTTGCAACCTGCTGTTGAAAGGCAAAAAAAAAAGGGAGGGCAGCCAATCAATTCTATTGTGGAAGTCAGTTCTACAGTCCAGGTGCCTCCACTGAGAAGACCCTATTTGGTTTCCCCATCAGCCTGTGGGTAGCTTCATAGGACAAGATGGTCTGTTAGATATTTCTGTTACAAACCTTTTAAGACTTGAAAGGCTAGAAGCAGCAGTTGAATTGACTCTGAAATAGATCAGAAGTCTATGACATTGGCACAATATTGTTGCTATATAACCTGAAGAACAGTTTGCTCCCAGTTTTCTAGCCAGTACATTTTGTACCAATTGAGGTTTCTGGACAATTTTTCAAAAGCAGGCCCATATACAGCAATCAAATCATTTGGAAATGTCTTTGTTAGAGCAAACAAATAAAATAAATGTGTAACCATCCTTTTTCAGGCTTAGACATTAAAGCAAGCAAGCAAGCAAGCAAGCTTCCAGAGTCATGGATGCTTCCAGAAAAGGCCTTGATTGTGCAGCCTCAAACACAGAAATGACATGGGCGTGTGCGTGTGCGCATGGACATGCACATGTAGGTCTCCAGACATTTCTGTCTTCAATTCATAACCTCCTGTTTCTCCCACCACTTCTGCCTTTTCTCTTAGCACGAGAAAAACTGTAAGGAGGAAAAGACAGAAGAAACTGTACAATGCCTTTTGAATGGAAGTGCTGGGAACTGTCTGGAAGCACCTAGAGTATCTAGGACAAGAACATTATTTCACCATTGTTGTTTTCAAAGTAGGAGAAAAATAAATGTTCCTTGGAGATTTATCAATCGCATTTATACCTCACCCCTTTTCCTTCAACGAACCTAGGGCAGCTTTCATAATTCTCCTCTTTTATAATTATGATTATCAATCATCTATTGTGAACCTCATTGAGAGGAAACTCTATTCTGAAAGGTGGCTAAGATCCATAGATAAATACCTTCCAGACACTGAGAAGACCCAGCATTCCTCAAGCTCACTGAGTTTTTGTTAATGTGATAACCCAAAAGTTGTAGTACATAATTCATGCTATATATTAAATACATTAAGGGTGCACCTCTATATTCCATGGTCATGATACACTTAAGCCTCTGAACTTGGAGTCCTATACACATCATATGGCCAGAATGAGGCACATGTATTTCATGCAGTGTTTCATGCAGGGCATTTTATCCAGAGAGCCATTTTCAGCCATCTCAATACAGCAAGGAGAGAGTTAAGGGAGGGGGCATGTGGATCAGGATCAACGAAAGTGCTCAGCTGCAGCCTCCTCCTCTCCCTACCTCCTGGTACTTTCCTCTTTTTTTCCATTTTGATGGGGCAGGGCTTGACTTTTGGAGTCCCAGCCCCAAGATCATCTGAAAGGCTATTGGATTGTGCCCTAAATATATTAAATGCTTGCATATATTAAACCAGATCACAACATGCAATAACTATAGCAGCCAGGAGCTATAGCTATGATCAACATTTCTCCAAACACTATCCCACAGACAAATACCTTCTCACATCTTAATTTAAACTAGTGTTAAAAAGCATTCAACATCCAAATGACCTTCATCATTAAACCCAGTGCATCACTACATACAATTCTGTGCAAAGAACTGCAAAGAGTGCACTAAAGTAATACACTAAGAAAAGACAATTCTGACGCTTCTAACGAAATGGTATATTGTTGCCTGTAATTGTATATATGACTTGCACAACACTGTTGTACACCAGAAGCGGGCAGGGAAGCAAAAACAGATCCGTTCCCCAAAGAATATGCAGTGGGGGTGTGGGGGGTATAGGGTGATCAGAGACCCAAAGGCAACAGTGGATGAGCGGTCGACCAACAACAATGCCAGCAATGAGCTGCTGATCCAAAAGTGAGGGCGATTGCCTCATCATTTCACATTATTTAATGTTCTCAGTATTGAGGACCTGCTAAGCACTTCGTTAGACACATGCCACTGATCCTCTGAAATGAACTTCAGAGTAATTAATGAATCCTGCATTTGATTAATGGTCTAATTATAAAGGCGTATTGACTAACTGCAGCACACACTGATAAAAGTCATTCCTTACAGAGAAGTTAACACAACCAGAGAAGCTGCCTGGTACGGGTTGCAAAAGCTGAAGCATCCAGAGGTGCTCATGCCATAACGCCGATGATGTCAATCGGTGGGAGACTTGCTGGGTGCAAAGTACAGGAGGATCCTATACGTGTCCACTCAGAAATTACTCCCACATAGTTCATTGAGACTTACCTTGAGGGTAAGTAGACAGAGGTACTATCTACTTGAGGGTCCTCTAGGGTAGCAGCCTTAAACCCTGCAAACTTGCCTGATATTTCAATTTACTTATTATTTAATGCTTCAGATGGAATTCTTAAAAATGTTTTAAAACAATCCACAGGCAATCTGAGTGTGCATTTTGACAAGTCAACTTTTATTGTGATCCATTTGGGGCACAGCCCATTGTAGAAAAGTGGCATATACTGAAACTGTGCAACAATGAAATTGTGAAATTGCCTTAGTATAACAAAACATCAAGGGTACTGCAATGGTTCCTCTGCTCTGGATGGAGAAAAGGCAATGCTAAGCATAATGAAACTTTTTCTCTATGCTCACATGTAGTGATTTTTGGCCTAAAGCATATGCAAAGCAATTAGCTCAGAGTGCACCAGAGTGTATTCTGGCCGGAGTACCAGAACTGCATAAATGTACCTCTGCCATATCACTGGGTGCATTGTGACTCCCCCAGCACTCCCACGCACACTGCGTCTCCCCCACTGCAAGCCACATCTGCCCCACTTACACCGCACTTCCCTCACCTCATCTCATGTCTCCCACCTACCTTCTTTTTGCTCCACTACTGCTGCTTTCTCAACAGCTGCGTGAGCTCCAAACCATGGCCAGCACAGCTCTGCAGAGAGATGGCCAGGCACTCCCTCACTTGGAAGGATCCTTCCTTAGAGCCAGACATTACAGGAGGGAGGTATCCCTGAAGGTCTCCTCTACCACAGGTGATCTCCAGGGACCCCCCTGCCCACAGCACCTGGTGCTGGTAGGCCCCCTCAGAGCACTTCACCACCTTTCTGCAGAGTCATGCTGGCCACGTTCTTCAGCTGATGCCATTCTTCAGAGAGATCACCTATCTTCCCCCTTCCTTCTCCAGAGCAAGCCAGAAGGTGGAGGGTAGCTCCAGAAGGCCTCAGTAATTGCTCTCTCCCTGTGGCATGTGCTCCAGTGGAGCAGAAGAGCCATCAGGGCTTGCCGAAGCACCCATGGTTGGCTTGGACAGATGTTCCAGAAAGCCCTATCTGTTCTGCTCCTCTGGTGTTGCAAATGCTCAAGGAAGAGTGACCACTAGGCTCTTCAGAGCATCACCCATCCGTCCAGTGTCACCATGGGGAGTGGGCTCCTGGCAATGGGAGTGCAGCATAATTCACTGTTCTTCCCACTGCATCACCTGATGCAGGAGCTCCATCCCTCCTCCTGGGAGGCCTGGCCCTTGGTACTCAACCTGTATGCCTCTCCCATGCCTATCCTGCAAAGAAAGAGACATATGGTGCATGACGTATGAACACATGCATGCTTGATTCCCATGCTCTGACCTATTTTTTTCTTTTTCTTCTTTTTTATTTTTGAAGAGGAAGGATTGTGGGAATGGGTTTACAGTGTATGCAAATATGCTGTACCTTATTTGTGTGGCTGGACCATGCATTGACCTGCAGCTCCACTACGGACATACCTGGGGTGCCCATACTTTCATAGTGGTGTTTGGTAGCATTTGGTTATATAGCCTGCTGCTAGATTAACTGTTATTACTGGGCATATTTTGGTAAGCCTCAAGGACACTTAGTTCAGATAAAAGAACAGTTCAGCTCTTTTTATTACCTAAATACTGTGTCGCAATGTAAACCAGACATCATTGCTGGGTGCTGCAGGAGATGTCATTTGGAATATTTAGAAGAATACTTAATGGGACAATTTCTCTGAACCGCAACAAACCACAGTTGGAGGCAATCATGCATATTAAATTCACCATACAGTTCTATGAGCAGCTAGAAAATTATGTAGACAGATTTCAGTAATGTCAGAGAAAGACTTGGAAACAACACTTCTACATTGCTCAGTAAATTAGAAATGCAGTGTTTACTAACCAATATAGATGTTTACTGACTGATAGGTATGTTACTCAGGATACTGTTAGAAGTGAGATGATTACTCTCAACAGGGATTTCCTGTATGAATTTCAATAAATGCACATAAATTCATTTGAGGTCAATTGTTGCTTGTCTCTAAAAACACACAGTATGGGCAATAGATTCCATACCATTATATATTTTTAGAACTGATGATTTTAGATTTAAAATTAAGATGTAAATAACTCAGAAGTCATATTCAAATATTTATTTTTGCCACAATATGCCACTGATCTGTGACAGGTTGATTTTGAGTCAACGTTACTTTGCTACGGCGTAGAAGAAAATAGAGGCAGGCACTGACAGCATCTTGACTCCTCAGGTCACTTGACTTTTGGCATACCAGGTCCCTTCTTGACAGGCAGAGACTTCAGAAAGAACTGAGCTGTCTTTAATAAATGCAATTTCTTGCTGAGAGAAAAGTAAAATGAGACTTTCACCAAGGGCCTACATCAGCATTGCCAGGCACCTGCCTAGGCCTATACTTTAGTAAGGGGCCCACTGCCATTTTTTTTTTTAAATTATTTTGGTCTCAGGGCCATTATCAAGGACTGGCACAGCTGAGCACCTGCAAAGGGCCCACGTGCCAATGAGGAGCTCCTGACAAGAGGCCCCTGGAGTCCTCTTCACCAAGGCAACCTTCTTGTTCATCTGCCCCTCGCTCAGGCCCAGACCAAGGTGCTAGTGAGAACAAACAGCAGCAGATGCTGCTGCCTAAATGCTCCTTGGTTGTCTGCCTCTCAGGCGAGCAAGTGGAGCAATGCTGAAAGAGAGGATGAAGCGCAGCAGCCGCTGGTGACCTTGGCAGTAGGGATGCGGACTCGCTGAGGGTGCCTTGTCCAGGAGCCCTAAACGAACAGGAGCCTGCTTGCTTTGAATCTTCCAGCCCTGGAACTCCCCTGGCTCTGAAGAAAATGTCTTTATTTTTCAAAACCTGCAGCTTCACTATATCACAGCTGGGGAAAGTGTTTCCTCAAGTGATGGAGTGAGATTTCTTGCACTTCATTAGAGCAATAGAAACCTTCCCATGATATATAATATGGGCACATGTCTCATGCTATTCATCTTTACAGACTTTTGTCCTTTATCTTCTAATTTAATGCTTTATTCGTTAAAATGCTGATCTTGTGCAATTGCACTCATGCCCATTCACAAGTCATACCTATTTTAGTTTCTTTTGCAAATGTGCTTTATAGAGACAAACTAATCAAACTAACTACCCATTTTTTCATGTATTGCATGTCTATACTGCCCAATAGTTAAAGCTCTCTGGGCAGTTTACAACATTTACTTCAGAATCTAACCCCAAGCTTTTTGGAGCATTACATTTTTATTTATTTATTTATTTATTAAAACATTTCTATACATCTAATTTACTTAAGTGACTAACAAAAACAAGCACCTACAAATGGAGAATACACATACTGGGTACAAGGAGGAAAAACAAAATGGAATGCAAAAGGAATGGTAGTCTGGATGTATGTGCCAGGTAAAAACAAGTACCAATGGCTCTTCTAGAGGGATGGCTCCTAGAGCTACTAATCAAAAGATAAGCCGCAACTATTTTGTCTTATCTTCCTCAAGCATGGTCTGAAAAAAGTTGGGAAGGCTACAAAAAGCAGATGTTGACCCAGTTCACATGTACTGACAAGCCACAGTTTTTTAACTGTCCTGGGTTGCAACGTTTGAACCCAGAACTCTGGATTGTGGAGGGTGAAATCACCTAGAGTTTCAACCCAGCATTTGCTGTTGGGTTAAAACTCTGGGTCATTTCTTCCTCAACAACTCAAGCCAAGTTTGGACATCACAGTGCACAGAGGAGGAACAGAGCATTCCCGGGCGGCCTGCTAAAATAGATGCAAAGCAGGAGTGGGCAGGAGGCAGCATTCCCAGCCATCATGTGCAAACCACGCCTGTGTCATCTGGACACCCACTGTGAACAAGTGCCTCAACCTTGGGGATAGGAAACAGCAGAGTATTCCTAAGCATTCCCGTTCGTAAGTACCATAATAATTGACATTTCTTCTGGAAAGGTTGTGATTAAAAGAGTACTGGGAATAATTAAAACACTATTAAGATCCATGTGGTCCTACTATGGATAGGCTCCGCTCAGGCACTATAGCCTGTCCACCTATGAAGCACTAACTAATCATTAGGCTGTTATAATCAATCACCTGAAATACAAATACACTCACATCAGCTAGGGAAACCAGTCAGGGGAGAATAAAGAGAAAAAAGAGTCAGTTCTAAATTTTGTTACTGGCTGAAAGATATGCCAGATGCTCATCCTAATATTGGGAGGTTGGTGGAACTGAACATAAGCTACTTCACCATCGTAATGCCTATCAAAAATGTATGTTGTCAAATGTAAAAAAGCTAAGTCTCTACTAACAGAGACTTCCTTATGCTGCCTTTGTCATCTTCTCTGTTTATAAAACACAGAACAATGTTCTCTAAGCTGAGATCAACACACAGTGGCTTGGATCCAAAGAAAAGCTTGCATGAGCAGAAGGCATGTCTGCTCATCCAAGGGAGGTCTGATTACTACCCTCCTTTCATGGGGCAGTCACGGAGCCACACTGCATGTGATTCTGGAAAGTCCGTTAGTCTTTGACAAGCTTGCATTTTAATGTGAACCTACCAGATTCACATTTCTCAAACATAAATGCTGTCAAAATTGTACATTTTAAGTATGTAATGCAAGCTGCAAAAAATAAAAATGCACAGCTGCATCTATTTCAAAGCATGTGCACAAAAAGGCACACATTTGTAGCAATATGCATCAAAACACTGGAGAAACACTTTAAAATGCATCTGTTGTCAAAAGTGCACACAAAAATGCACATTTTAAAGGAGTACACACATTTAACGAATGTGTACAAAATGGTTTTTTTTTTTAGGGTGGTGGGAATGCACATCAAAATCCATGTAAAGGTGAATGTTGCTATCCATATACCAGTGTGGAACCAAACATTAATGTAAAAGTGAAAGAAATTAACAAAGCTGCACCCTGCCACTTTTAGTGACCTTTTAGGTGAGTGATAGGCTATACTGGGAAGCAGGCAGAAAAGCCCCACTGAACAAGCAACCTGTGATTTATTTGTAATTAACAAGTTTCTGAATAGAGCAATTGCTATGAGATGAGGTTCAGAGATGTGAACTTACTTTGTGGCCTGCAAAATAAGCAAAGCCTCTTTAAATATGCCCTTGCTAGCTTCCATTTTAGCACAGCATTCATCATTGTTTCTCCCCGCAATGCAGGGCACACACACAGCAGCAGGAGGCAGGTGCCAAAGCCATCATCTGTATGGCTATTGAGACTGCAAGTTTGTCTAAATTGTGTTTTACCATTTCACTGTTGGGAGTTCCTAGTCTGGAATCACTGGAGTTGTGAGGAGCTCTGAACCACCATGACTGATTTAGAACTGTTTCCTTCCTTGCCCCTCATCTCCCAGAATTCTTCCATCGCCAAACTTTTATGGATTCAACCCTTTAGAAAAAGCCTAGAAATGATTTTTGAAAGATAGATACCTTTTGCTTTATTACTGGATCTAGGTATGTATCTGGCACCTTCCTTAGCACTCTATCACAGCTGACATTTTTCAGAATGGCTTATCCTTCTGACATTTGG